TTATTAATTTTTTAAGAGATAAATGCAACTTTGTTTTAGTTAGCATATTTGATGGTAAGCCGCGATAAATTTTTATGGTATAGAATATTTGTTTCGTGGAACAAATAATCCGCTAGTGAAATGGGTAGTAGATGTGTGCGCTTTCACTAGTGAGTTAAAAAAAAGAAATTTCCCGGATTTATTTTCAAGTGGTGCGTGGTTACCCAACGAATGTAGATAGCCGTAATATATATTTATTAGGTAAAGAACATTCTTTTTATGGAATAATTATTGTTTTTCCGGAAGAAATCAGTCGGTCTAACTTGAAAACACAAGAATGACACAGGATAGCATTTAAATTCAGATAATGCACGAATAATAATGAGATAATTAAACTCTTTTGTTTCCAAAATTAGAAGTTACACTTTTAACCTCAATAACGGTTTACGGTGCAAACTATAATTTTTCATAAATACCATTAATGCTGCATTTCAAAAAATAAAAACAAATAACTATACTCATTAAAAAAAAAATGGGTGAATTTGTTTTTTCTGAGGGAAAAAATGCTTTCGGAGAGGCGATAAAATTTAGAGGGGGAAAGCCCATAAAACTCCTTAATTATGACCAGGAAAAAGAAGAAATTCACATAAACGAAAGTGCACTGAACATATTAAACGAAATCGATGAACCCGTCGCCGTCATCGCGATAGGTGCGTCCTTTAATTTACATCAGTACAATTTCAAATACAGTATATTCACAAAATTACATTATTTTAGTTGGTTCATTCCGTCGGGGAAAATCCTGGTTCGCGAATGTTCTCCACGGTCGGCACGACGGCTTCGAACTAGGGGCCGAGCTAGAAGGATGTACCAGAGGAATCGACATGTGGGATGCACCGTTCTTACATGAAGGGAAACGTGTTATTGTACTAGATTGTGAGGGAATAGACGAACCTCGGCAAGATCAACGATGGGCTACGAAATTATTTGTTTTAAGTTTGGTCCTATCTTCCTCATTTATTTACAACATTAATGGAATCGTTGGAAAGTCGGATATTGGAAAATTATTTTTAATGACTGATCTCACGAAATATATTAATCCACCCAAGGATTCTAAAATTTTTCCAAGATTGGTAGTATTACTAAGAGATTTTATGTTGAAGAGTCCAGATGATTTTAGAGAGTATTTTTTGCAAAGGTTGGACGAGGCCAATTCTGATGGTAGGCGTAATTTAAGATGCATAATTGTAACAGGAAAATAAAAAACCAATCATATTGTTATTTCATGTGTAGCTGCAAATGGCATCAGAGAGTACTTCGAAGATTTCGATGTTTACGGATTGCCTGTATGTTTTTTTTTATTTTTAACAGTTAAATGATATACGTCAAGTGATAATCATCTTTATTTTTACTCAATATAGTATCCGGGAGTTCAAAGAGAACAGTTACAGTATATGGATAGAGTTAACACTGACAGTTTAGATCTGGATTTCGTCTCAGAAGTCGTTCAATCTGTGAATGGAGTTCTCTCAAAAGTAAAACCAAAATATATAGGCTCCTCGTCAATGTCCGGTGCTACATTTTCGAAGTTCCTCGTGGAATGCGTCGAGAAATTAAACGATCCTGAAAATCAAATTAGATTGTCAATACCCGACGAATATAATTCTGTGATCATCTACGTCGCCCAAAGAACAATTCAAAAATGCGGTGGCATTTATATGTCCACCATGGAAAAAGAAATTGAAACCCTCAAATTTCCAATTCAATGGTCAGAATTTGGCTCTGTCCACAATAAAGCGTTTAATATCGCGGAAACAGAGTTTTCGAAAAGTATAATTGGCACGGCGCCGCAGATAGTTAACTTCCAACTAGAGTTTCAAACAGAAATAGAGAATATGAAGAAAAAACTTCAACAAGCCAACTCAGAAGCCTTATTTGATCATAATAATCTGTTAGCAGAAAATTTATGGGAAAGCTATGTCAAGAATGGTCTTAATTCGGATAATCCCTTCTCGGTGAGTATAAATCTTATTTGCGCATTGATACTCGTTGGCTTAAGTTTATTAAAACCTCTCTCCTTTCAACTGTTCACATGCAACAGAGTAAAGAAGATTTTGAAGAAGCGGTTGGTATATTTGAAGTCGAGTCAGAAGATTTAATGATACCAAGTCCAGAAGCCGATAAGGTGATTGCTGATTTCAAATCAAAAAAATATAAGGACGCCGTTAACAAGTTGGAGTCCATAGGCGTTTTACAATCAAAGTTGGCTGAGGAAATGCGCACCAATCAGGATGCACAACAAAAACTTCTTGAGTGTTCTGCTCGGGAAAATGAAATGATAACAAAGCTGGAAGACTTGAAATCTGAACGCGAAGAAATGAAGCATCAATTTGAGAAAAAGATGGAAGAAATGAATAATACGTTACAAGAACAAGATATTCGTAATCAAAGAATTCTGGGGGAGATTAAGGAAGAAAGAGAGCTAGCGGCCCTAATGTTGGAAAGCGCGAAGGATCATGCAATCATAGAGTACGAAAAAGAACTCGCGAAATTAAAGAAGGATAAAGAATATTGGCGAGATATTTTAAAATCTTGTATTCCAGTGGTTGAGGTTGGACTAAAATTCTTAATGGCTATTTTTGTAAAAAAATATTTGTGACTTTTCTTATATTTCATGGAAGAGCGTATCGGTTCCATTTCTTATCTATTATGCTTCAATGTACAGTATATTTAATGTGCCTATATCGATTATACAGTATTTCTAACTTTTGGTTAAGGTATCGTATTTTATTTGGTGTTTGTACAGTATGGAACAAAAAAATCTAAACTTTTTATTTTACTATTGTTTAATTAAATAAAATTTATATTTAAATACATAAACATAATTTAAATTTTTTTGATTTTTTCTAAATATTTAAAAACTTTTCAAAGTAAAAAATAAATTCGTAGATTTACAGTATAACATGAAAATATTTTAAGTTATAATACAAAAGATCTCTAATTTAATCTTATCAAATTTAGCATACACAGTAAACCTGGATATAACGAAGTCTGGATATAATGAATACCTGGATATAATGAAGTATTTTTTTAAAAATTTTAAATTTTTTCTAATAAAATTACCTGGATATAACGAAAACCTGCTATAACGAAGAAAAAAGTGTGAACCGGACCCCTTCGTTATATCCAGGTTCACTGTGTATATAAATTAATTGGATTTCTATATATTATTATAAATTTTTTATTAACTTTGTTTTTTTTATAGTAAATTCTTTATTTAATCATATATAACAAAATATATAATAGAAAGAATCTACATTTTTCATGTGCACCTGTAGTAAGTTAAATGTCAATTTATCTATAATACTATCTAAACTATATTAAAAAAAATTTTTTTAACTAATATTTGTTAAGATAAAACATGTTAGACTATACTAATTAAAAAGGACAAAAAAATAGAAATAAAAAAAAATACATATATTAATATATTTTTATATCACATTTTGATACTTATGCTATATAATCAGAGAATAGCTTCAATATTGATATATATTTTTTAATAAACGTTTTGAAAGATTTAAATATTGGCTTATACTGTTAAATATAGAAATCAATTAATCAAATAGAAAGTAACTCATAAAAATATTTTTTTGACTTTTTGTAAACAATTTAATAAATATTAATTGACTTAAGTTATCAAATTTAAAAACAAATTTATTAAGCAAAATACAATCCTTATATACTTAGTAACTTGTTATAAGATTATAACCTACTATACAAGTAATTATTTTAATAATTGTCCAGTGGGACTATAACACTTTAGTAAATTATTGATACTTTTGTGTTAATATTACAGGTTCAATTCCAAGTGATGGCAATAAGCCATAGATCTGATTCAGCAAATCAATTATTAATTAACCTGTAATTACATATAATATTTACAATATGCCCATAATTCCAGATGACATCTTGCAATTCTAGTTAGAGCTTATTATCAATATATATTTTGCTGGTCTTTAAAAAGTTCAGTGAAACTGCAAGTTGATAAATTGATATCTATTACTAAAATATTACATGTGTTATAAAATACTCACTAGTTGATCTGAACAGAAATTAAAAATTTTGTTTAAACTTTGAAAACAATATATAGATATAGTAAGTATTAGTTATCTAACTATTGAATATGTACAATATTTAATAATCATAATTAGGAATTAATTCTTTCTAATATTTTAATCTAAATAATATTTTACAATCTTGATTGAAATTTATTATCAGTATATACTTTGCCAGTTTTTAAAAAGTTCAGTAGAATTGCAAATTAATAAATTAATATCTGTTACTAAAGTATTATATATACTATAAAATACTTATTGATCAGCTTAAACAAGAATTAAAAATCCTATCTAGATTTTAAAAACAATGTATAAATATGATATTATACTTGATTTTCACTTAAGATCTTCATTAGTACTTGTTCAATTTTTATTAGTATTTACTCTTGAAATATTGTCTATTTTAGAATAATCTTTATATTATTATTCTTATTATTGTTTAGCACTATACTTTTTATGCTATTGTTACTTTAAAATGTTTTTTATTTTATTTATTTATCTTTACTTTCTTATTTTTGTCAGAGTATTTGTTTTTATACTAATACAATAAATAACTATTCTAATAAATATAATACTTCTTTTATATATCTATTATTTTATATAACTTATATTAATTTTTTTTTTTAAGTAGGTAAACATTATCTCTTTATTATTATAAAAATTTTAAAATAATTTTACATTGTGAAAGTGACAATATCTCTCACATGACCAATTGATCAATAAGTCTAATGCTAACTTGCCTACAGAAACTATTTAAGTGACATGAAAAATAAATATTAAAACTGATGTATATTCTAAATAGTGCCAAGCAGCTATGAATATCTACTCAGGTTTATGTGTAAGACTATAATAAGTTGAAAAAAGAAAAAAAAAGAAAACACTAAACAAAAAAATAAGTACAGCAACACTAATTGTGAAGTTATAAATGCTTCAGATGAAGTGTGTCATACTGGTAGTTCCATTTAACTAAAGTACTATTGCACTTCCAGAAATGATCAGGCTACTGTCCAAAGTATACAATAGTGTTGATGGTATATTTTTTTGATAGATAGTTGGTCATAGTGATGATATTGTTATTATATTAATATGATTTGTGATTGGTTTGTTTGTTGATGATGTGATTTTGTTTTGGTTGTTGTCACTGTAAAAGATTTTGTTTACGTTGATTAGGGTGTAGTATTTTAGTTGTATGGATTTGTTTAGGAAATTGATGATGTTTGATTGATTGAATTTGGAATATTGATTAATTAACAGAAGTAAACTGATTGCGGTTTTTTGTTGAAAAATTTTTTGAGTGAGATTTTTGAATTTTTGATAGTACAGCAAAATATATTAAGCAATAGTGAGAAGTTATAAAAGTCTTAATGAAATTATAGATGATTTCAATTAGACAGTGAACTTAGAGAGATATATTTATTGAACTCAAACAAAAAGTTAAGTTTATTCAGGTCAAAAGTGCATCCTTTTTATATATTTTGAGTTGACA